CCAAGCATTCTAGCATTGAGCTACATTCCTATCCCCAGAGATCACCCAGAGAAAATGCTTGTCTTGATTCTTAAGCTCCTAAACTTTTATCTTTCCTGGCACAAGATCTACATTTTTTTCTAGCATTTCCTCATCTTAAACTTTTTGCAAGAATATGGTGTTCTCCTTTTCAAAAAGGTTGGATTTTATTTATGGGACCACATTATCTCCTTAGACAAAAAAATAAAAAAAAATCATACCCTAGGAGATCATTGTTTCCACCCCCAGTTTTGATCACCATAGTTCAATATAATCTTAAGTGAACACAATCACCACTTCTTCCTAACTTTATAATGTACCTTTTGAGCATCTTACCTCCTCCATTCAGGAATGCATAAAGTTGAAGTTGAGGAGGAGAAGAGGGTAAAACAGTAAGTAGCGGGCATACAAAGCCCCAGTACTTCATCTTCTTTCCACGGCCGTCACTTCCTCCCAGGCCATGCCCTCTTTTATTTTCTTAAACCAAGCTTCATGGAACTGTAAAAGTTTTCAAGACTAAATCTATAAAGAAGAATGTCCCACATAAGTGTACACTTTCTAGATAATGTTTTATAGCTTATTTTTTTCTTATTCTGTGATGATGTTGTAGTTCCAACAATAAAGTCTCACTGACTTATCCCTCAGTACCTAGAATATATTGATAATTACAATGTCTTTTGGACAGTGTAAATGTATTTTACTTGTTTTAACGAACTTTCTATTCACCCTTAGAGTGGCCAAGAGAATTGAATGGCATATTTTTCAAGTGAAGCTTCAATAATTCAAATGAATTGTGTGTCTGTCTTCCAGGGAAATCATAAACTTATTGGAAAATATTTTTTATTAACTAATTTTATCTGTACATACTAGGTATGCATAATGATAACATAGATTATGGGGAATTTGCACCTGTACCTGATACAATATGATTCTCAAGATTATTTTTTTCCCATTTCCTACAGCCCCTCCACCTCCATAACTATAAAAGCTTTTTTATTTTTATTTTTTTTGTTTTATTGCAAGACAAATATCAATGAGACAGTTTCAAAACTGATTAATAGGACAGTTTCAATAATTAATACATTGTGCGTTGTTATCTTCTTAATGGTTTTCCATAGTGTAAGATGCAGACAGAATATCCTGTCCAAACAATTTTAGTACAAATCTTTCTCTTCCTAAAAGCTTTATTTTGATTTTTTTTTCTCTTTTTGCTTTTCTTCTTACTTGAAAATATTAAGACAAAAATCTAAACAACTTTTACCCTTCCAAGAAGAAAAACATATACAAAGCTTTTTTTTTAATATCATTTGTGTTGACTCCTTCTTTCTCATTGATGCCTATTATTCTCACATTGTTCATCTTTGCATCATCTTGCCAAAGCTTTTTATGGTAGACGGCACCATTAAATTAATTATTTGAGTCTAATAGTGAGTGATTCCATGTTATGAGACCGGATCATATAAATGCACCTCGCACCTTATTGCCAGTGTGCTTTTCTTCATCTCAGTTGAATCACTTTTGTTAAAGCTTTGACCTAAGCATCATATGCCTGAGGTTGACATCAGAATGGAACGTGCTGTCAAGCCAGCTGTCAGTGTGGAGAAATGAAGTGAGAAAAGAAGACATCACAGACTTATTATCAGTGCCTATTTAATGCGTTGGAAGGCTGTGACTGGGTGGCATCCTCTTGTATGGCCTAAGTGAAAAGACTATAAGAGCCATGTGCTCCTCTCCTTTGTCAGTTTGTTTGGCCAAGCAACACAGGCCAGGGTGCTGAAGGAAAATCTTCAAGGTGATGGGATGTGAGTGAGAGGGAAAGGAAAGGCCCTGACTTCCAGATGGAAATGAGGGGAATGCATAAGTATGTGATTCAGGAGTGAAAGAACATTGAAAGGCACTGTAGAAAGCCTGTGCCTGAAACCATTCTTTCTGGGTAACTGGAATGTGTAGGGTAAATTACGTGATTAGTAAAGATTACAAGTTGGGCTGCAGAGTCACTCTCACAAGGAATGTTCTGAGGAGCTATACCAGTGTGAGCTGCCAACTACCAAATCACTTGCTGTACTTTCACAGAAATGCGATCTGTGTTTTCTTCAAGGTCCCGTTATGTTGCTTTCATTAGTTGAGGCAGGCTGCCAGCTACGTGTACACACGAATCTCACCCACCATCCCAAAGTGTTCCCTGTCTGCTGTTGTTCAAGCCAATGGAATAACTTTGATTTGAAAAAAAGGAACAGAAAATGTACTCTTTGGTCAAAGAATGGAGAAGCGAGAGCTCTTGCCTTAAAGACTATGTTCTCTTGAAAGTGGGCCAAGAGGTGTTCGTTTGTTGGGAAAAGAGTGTACATCATGGGTCAAGGGATGCTTTGTGTGTTTCACCATCGCACTGGCTGTTGTCACCTTGAATTTTTCTGGATTGGCTGTTTTTTTCAGTAGCTGTTTATCTTGCTTTCTGCCTTGTTACTATGGTGCAATACAGATGCACGTGGTAGTGACCAAGAAAGAGAGTTGCCAGGAAGTAGCTAGCACTTCAATAACTCTTCTGACAGAAAAAATTGAAAGCTACTATTTTGTGAGTAGTGCCTGCAGGAGAAGATTGACTTGCAAATGTATCATGCAAGTAAAACACAACTTAAAAATGGCAAAAATGCAATTATTGGTTGTTAGGATGAGGAGACCCTGCCTAGAGTATATTCACAGGAGGGTGGGACTTCTTTGATACACAGAGAAAATATTTTAATTACTTGTAACATCTTTCATTCAACAAAAACTTTACTGAATGCCTCTTGCAGTGTCATGCTCTGGGGCACGCAAAGGGGATTGAAAGTTCAGTATAATTTGTTGTTTCCCTTCACGGGGTTGATAGCTGTTTGATGTTTGGGTTTGTTTGAAAATATATGAAGACTATTAGGAGAATAATAAGAAAAGTGAACACAAGAAAGGAGAAAGGAGAAGAAAGCCCTAAATGGAAGGCTTCCTGTGGGTACATCTTTGTTTTTTTTTGCTTTAATGTAAAGGTAGCTGTATATTAAAAAGGAAAATGATAAACCTACTGGTTTACCATGTAAAACTACTAGTTTACCGAACTGCCATAGCTTACTGAGTACTGAGTTGTTTCAAGGGATATGGGTGTGTTCAGTGCTAATTATGGGCAATCCAGTGGAAAAATGATTGTATTAGAGTAAGAAATAAGTCATTGAAGAGAGAGTAAACTTCCAAGGATTATCCCCCTTTCCAGGGTTTTAGCAATTGTCCTTTTTGTAATCATTTATAAATATAGATTCTCAAAATTGATTCCAAATTAGTGGTTTAGATTCCTGAAGAGTAAAGCCCAAGCTTCTTCCACTTTGATAAACAAAACTTCCTAAAGTTGAGGGTAGCTGTTTAATTCTTCTTATTTTGTTTTGTTTGTATAAATCATGCAATTCAACTCTAGGGCTATAGTTTGTACCCTTCCTGCATGTGTAAGTTTGTACCTTCTTAGAGAACTTTCAATAGTACATAGTACTAGTTTGAAGTACTAGTGTGAAGGCAAGCTTGAAGGGATTTAAAGATGTAAAATATTAAATTCTAACTGTGGAAGGTCTATTTATTACTTTTTATTTTACTCTTAATTTAAGGAACCTCAGCAATCCTTTTTTTCTGTGATATTTAGGATTATTTGATTCACAGGAGAGCCGTTTACTGTCCTGATAGTTCTTTCATGCCCATTAATAAAATAAGTTCTCTTTTTATTCTACTGTGTGAGTTCTTTCTGGATTTACTGTTTTTTAAAATTTCTTCTATGGTTTAAAGTGCCATTTGGCTGATGATCGGCTCTTCAGAAAAAAATCTTGATCCAGGTCTCTACTCTCACCGAAACATTCAAAATTGCCTAACAATATGAATATTCAGTTGGAAAAGTTTAAAATTTATACCTAGATCAAGATACGAGAAAGCAAATAAAAAGTGACACACTAATTAAATTTAGCATGGAGATAAAAATATCACTCTGTTAGCTGTCAGTTCAAAAGCATCAACAAATCCCTAAAAATGAACAGAATAGTTATTATATTTTAAGCCAGAAAATGCAGACACACATGTAAGAAATATAAGTTATCTTTCCATAATTGAATATACTTTATATCTTAAGTGTCTGCTGGCAGAAAGGAGTCTTGTAATTTACAGCATAGCCATATTTTGATGGCCTCAAAAGATCCCCACTGAACTGACTGTTGTCATAAGTACCAATTTCACTTTTTTCTTTTTTGTATATTTACAGTTTGGGTACTTTCTGATCTCTCATAAGATTCTGATCTCTCATAATATTATTATTTTTTTTCAAAGTTTTATTGATAAACAGATAGCAATGAGACAGTTTCAAATCAAATCGGAAGTACAGTTTCAACAAATAATACACTGCATATATTCTTCTTAGTGGTTGATTGCTGTACAAGATGTGGACTTGTGATCCTATTTACAAACACCATTAGAACAAATCATTCTATTCATTAAGAGAATGCAACTATATATCTATCCTAACCACTTTGAATACACAGATACAAAATGGACATTCATCGGTATACCCCATTTTTTCTAAGTTCCGTTATTGAATATTATAGGTGTGTAAACTCAGCAAAATATTCTAAAAGAGTCCAGTAGCCCATAATAGCATTGGGTCTTCTGTTTAACTGGCAATGTCAGAAATTATTGACCTGAGTCCCCCACAGCTCAACTTAACAGCATGGCTTTATTTCCTATATTTCGTCTTCATACTTTTGTACTGGATGGTTAAGACCAAGGTAAAGCAGGACCTATGCAACAAGAGTTGTCAGCTATAATGTTATTAAAAATACAATTTTTCTCTTTTTTTTCATGTGAGACGGGTAATGTGCTCACGTCATAACAAGGTTTGAGGGAGGGACATCTCATGCATAAGGCATGAACACCCCCTCAATCATCACGCTCACGAACCAACAGATCGAAAAAATACAAACTCTCAGTCTTTATCCCTAACCCACAGAATCAAAGATATGGGTGGAGCTATGCTGTGATTATTTCTTTAAGAGTTTGTGTTGTCTCAACAACTGGTTGGAAGCTTGCTCCTTCTTAAGTGATCCAGCACAGAAGTAAAGAAGAAAGTATGAAGAATGTGTTGCTACTTGAACAGGAGAAAAAAAAAATACATCAATTCTCCTTTCCTTGCAGAATGTTCCTGAAGTTAGTAATTATAGTAGCCGCAGTTGGCCCATTTAAGAGAAAATGTACCTGCTTTAACTTTGAATGACAGATACAAGAAAGCTTTAACTTTTATCAATAACATTTCAACTTATAACTTTTGTCCTATGGGACATTTTGGGGTTCAAATTATACTAAAAGATAAATTGTTTTAAAATATGCTCGGGAAGTGTTCTTTCAGAGAGTGATAAGGTGTGACAACATCAGCATGCAGTGAGCGAACTCAGATAAATGATTTGCTGTTTCCAAAAAGGGGAGGGGGAGAGAGAGAGTACTGGCTTGTGGATGACTGACCTTGAATTCTATCTCTTATTTTCAAAGAGATTTCTGTTTTCCATTCTATTCAACAACTGTGAGCTGCACCTTCATGAACTCTTTTAAAAGAATATCAATAACGGTGCTTCGCGTCACATCCGTATGCGGCACCAAAGCTACTTTTCTGTTATCTCTCGCATTCCAACTCTTCTAACTAGGTTTGGAATCAGCAACAAAACTAAAGAAGCTGATACAACTCAGAGGAGCAATTAAATGGGAAAGTTTCCTTTCTCTCTTCTTCCTTGCAGGAAAAGATATTTTAGACTTAGTGAAAATAATCTCCTGTGTACTGAGGTACAGCAAGAAACTTTCTTGCAGTCCTCTGCTCCAAATCCTAGCTTATAGTCAAGAAATTCAGAGACATGTAGGGCTCTCTTTTTAAAGAACAGTTAGTGTACCATGATGATTCCAAGAAATATCCTGGAAATTGAAGGTTAGGTTGAGAACTAACACATATATACATAATATATGTCTTAACATATCACAATTTAAAAGATCTTCAATTTGTGATGGTAGTGATATTACTAGTTACAAAAATTAATTCATATGCATCCACACAGCTTTAAGAAAATGAAAAATTCCCCACTAAGTTTAGATTAAGAGTGTTTACTTTAAGGAAACTTGCAAAGTTGTAAATGATCATTTCACTTATGCTTAATCACAACTTGAAGAAAGGTAAGCAAGAGAGACAGTGTCTACAGTGAACTACTAGTGGGTGTCAGAATTTAAGCTCAACTCCAAATGTCACATTCTTTTTATATTCCTACACTGAGATTTGTGAGAATCATCCAGTAAACATTTGCAAAGTGTACACAGTTCTTAGTTTGTAAAGGATGTGTATTTGTTTGTGCTGCTCTACCAAAATGTTATACACTGGATAATTTATAAATAAAGGTATTTATTTCTCTTAGTTTCAATGGGTGGGTAGTGCAGGACCTACACAACAGCTCTGCTGTCTGTTGAAGGTTTGCTTTCTCCTAGATAGCCAGCTCTTCATTATGAGCGCAAGGAAGAAAGATGAGGTGCCCTCTTTCGAGTTTCTTTTATGAGGACTGCACCTGCATGGCCTAATTACTTCATGAAGTTCCCCTCCTCGCATTACGACCTTGGGGGTGACAATTTCAATGTGTGAATTTTGATGATATAAGTATTTAGGCTACAGCAGAATACAATGCAAAATTTTCTCTTCTTTCTTGGGACTGGATAAAGAGAAACAATACTTGCAGATACTACTTCCTACCTGCATCTTTTCTTTATATGGCTCCAGGGCCTCAGAACTGAAATGTTTTTATAGAGCTCCAGATATTTTGTTAATTCAAAACTATACTTCAGTGAGAGTCGGTTCTCTAGTACTTTAGATTCAACTTATCATTTCACCCTGTGTGGAAAGTGAATGTTGAATATCTAACACTAATGACCCCTACTCAGGACTTTATTTATCTGATGTTTCTTCAGATTAATTCTTTTATACACTATTATTTCTGCAACTGATAACCACATGAATGACATAAAATAGTAGACCTAGTTTTGTTTGGATTATTGTTCCTTACCTACCTGTCAAATTACTGATTTGTGGAATGTATCTTTAATTTTATACCCATTACTATAGTTATTGATTATATTTATCACGAGGAGTTTGTACATGTGTACAATACTTCTTAATTTTTTGTCTCTTTTCTCTACCCTCTCACCTCTCTTCCTCTTTCTTTTGGTCTCCTTCTCATATGAAAATGTTCTTTCTACTTCCTACTTATGTTATTTATTATTTACATTTTGGATTTTACCATAAAACAAACCATAAGATATTTAAGAATCCATGATCGATGTCGGATTTATTTTACTTAATATTATGGCCTAAAGTGCTTCCATTTACCTATAGTTGCCTCAAATTTATCCTCCTTTATGACAGAGTAGTGCTCCATTATGCATGAATATCACATTTTCTTCATCCATTCAACAGCTCATGGGTATATAGTAGACCCAAGATTTAGCTATTATGAATTATGCTTCTATAAACATGGTCTTGTGTGTATCACTGAAATATGTTGACTTTTGACTCTTTCAGAAAGATACCTAGCTGGGCTAAATAGATTTGGTTTTGTTTAGTTTTAGCTTTAGCATTAGCTTTAGCTGTTTTAGTTTTAGTGGAATCTCTATACTGTTTTCCACAAAAGTGGTATTAGTTTACTTTCCCATCGACAATGTAGAAAGGTTCTTTTTATTGTATCAGCTCTGTGATTTATCTAATACAAATAAATTATATAAAATAATTTGATAGTGATTTTTCACATTCAAAAGAGTGGTAGTCAAAATGAAATTCATAGTAATCAAAATATGTAAATTCTCTATACATGACTATATATATATGACTATAACAAATATTGGTGGGGAGTGAGAAAGAGAGAGAGAGAGCGAGAGAGAGAGCAAGAAGGAAAACTATTTTTGTAATAATTTTATTGAGAAATAAATAGCAATGAGACAGTTTCAAAACCAATTACTAGCACTGTTTCAATAATTAATACATTGCATATTGTTGTCTTAGTGGTAATTCATTGTACAAGATGCAGACATGATATCCTGTCCACAAACACTATTAGAATAAATCTGTCCATTCATTGAATTCAGAGAAAGCAGCTCCATATCTACCCTATTTTTTTCAATAATTTCATTGAGAAACCAATAGCAATGAGACAACCTCAAATCCAATTAGTAGGACAGTTTCAATAATCAACACATTACATATCGTTGTATTAGTGGTCATTCATTGTACAAGATGCAGGCATGATATCCTGTTTACAAACACTATTAAAACAAATCTTTCCATTTATTGAATTGAGAGAATATAGCCATATATCTATCCTAGCCATTTGGAATATACAGATACGAAATGGTCATTCATTTGCATCACCTTTCTCTGTTTAGTTTTGTTAGAGAAGGGCACTCCATTGTCATTAAAATACTATAGGTGCATGAATTCAGCAAAATATTCCAATATAGTCCAGTAGTACATCATAGTAGTGGGTTTTACATAAGACTGGCAATGTCAGCAGTTGTTGACTTGAGCCTTTTACATCTCAGCATATTAATATGGATTTACTTTTTATACTTCATTTTTATACTTTTCTGCTGGATAATTAAGACCAAGATAAAGCAGGACCTATATAACAAGAAATGTAGCTTTTGTATTTGATAAGGCCAGTCAAATCCCCTCAGGATTTATCCTGAAACCCCGTACCACACTTTGTAGATCCTTTGCCAGTGTCAACCATGTGGATGAGTCACGGCCATTGCTTGACCATTTTTCTGTCTGTGAAAGCCTGAGAGAATGTTTTCTCTTCATGTCACTCTCCTTAGGCACATTCTACATCACCAATCACCTTCCTCTGAGGCCCCATAATCTCCTTAATCAGAAAATTTGGGACACAGTTGAGTTACATGATGTTACAGTACAGGTTCTCCTATGTCCTCAGTCTTCACTGACCTTGAAAGACTAGGGCCGAAATGTTGGCTGTTCTTGCAGCCCTCCTTTTTCTCTAATTTTTGGTCTGCAAACCTAGTTTGTTAACCCTCCAGAAGAGAAGCTTATTGTTATTACTGTACAATCTAGGCTGTTGAGATTAACCTCACTATCTGTCTGAATATCAAACATCTTAGGCATGACATGGAACAGGTATTTTTTATCAAGTATTGATATGTTAAACTTTAAGTCCCTATGGAATATTAAGAAAAAATTAAAAAAATAAAAATATAATAAAACATAAGAATAAAAAATTCCAAAAAAAGAAAAAAAAGAATAAACAATTCCATAGTTTTACACATAAGTTTAGAAATCTTAACCATTTAGAGCATTGTAGCAGGACAGTACTGCAACACCCCTTTTCCTGTCTCCTGCCTTCATTCACCACCTCAGAAGGAAAACTATTAAAAAAGCACATTTTTTATCTTATGAAAAAAGAAAAAACAAATTTTATAACAAAATAATAGGAAAGTAACAATAGTTAATTCAGTACATGTTGTTATCTTTCAAGTAGTTGCTGAAGGTATAGGATATGGTCATAATTTTTTTTCCAAATGAACTTAGCATCTTCCTTTTCAATGACCTAAGATAGAATAATAGTATAACTGACTTCTATATTTTCCCTTTTTCCTACTGTCCTTTTCCCTTTCATCCATCCTAGTTCCTTTTCTTTTTGAACAATGTCTTCCCATTTCACACTGTCTATTGTATTATATGTTTTAGACCTTATTTCCTCTCCAATTGTCACACAAGGGAGATAATCTGATGTTTAAACATGTGAATCTGATTTATTTCACTTACTAATATGGTCTCAATTTGCACTCATTTGCCTATAAAATCCTCCACTGAATCCTTCTTTATGGCTGAGTAGTACCCTATTACATGTATAAAAATATCATTTCCTGCATTCTT